TGCCTATGGAAGAGAGAGGGAGAGATTGAAGAACCAAGCACTGTGTTTCCTTGCCAGTTTGACTGAAGAAGAGAGAGTTGCTTCAAATATCTCTGTAGAGGTACTGGAGGGAGTGAAAGGCTTAGTTGATACTGATCCTGTAGTTGGTGAAGTTGCTGAAGTGTAAGTGTAATTTATGTTAAGAGAAATCCGTTCTTGGAAGCGATTTCGATTTCGATTTTATTCCATGCAAATAAGCAGTGACCGGACGTCGGTTTCGATTCAAAGACGTGAATTCTGAGAGGAAAAAAGCTCGGAGCTTCGTACGAGCTTCGAAAGCTCCGATCTTGGAAATATAAGAGTGAAGCCCAGTAGTTAGCGCCTTAGAGAGCGCTCCAGTAGTAAGCGATTTATTTATTTTATGTTAAGAGAAATCTGTTCTTGGAATCGATTCTGATTTCGATTCTATTCCATGTTAATAACTAGTCTCCGGAAATCGATTTCGTTTCACCGATCCGATTTCTCAAAAAGTGAGCAAAAAGTACTCTGAAATAGGAAATAATTCAATATAAAATAGTTCCTTTTTGGTTCCAGGTGGAAGTAAGTGACAGCTTGAGGTGCAGGGTGTAAATTAAGACTATCATTCCACACGTAGAGCTGTGTATATTTTGTACTTAAAAAAAGCTGTCACGTCTTACAACGCACCGAAACCCGTACCAATAAGAAAAATTTCCCATAAACTTTTTTTTTCCATTTTATTTTTACTGCATAATACTAGTAAAACTATTCAACTTGTGAGTAGTCATAACTTTATCAAAAATACCACTATAATAATTTTAAACTATTGCACCTATACCATCTTTTTCTGAGGATTCTGAATTTACCATTTTCTTTGATATCAAATGCATTKTTGTGCTATCATTTTATTGTTCATAAAAGACCATTTTACTACTACTAGTACTACTAGCTGTAGAACCACTACTGGTGATTTAGAAGGCAAAACGGATGAAGGACAGACAGTTCGAATTTTTGCTAGGGACTGGACTGGTTTCACAAAATTGGATGAAGGGCAGACTATTTGTACTACTAGAATTACAGTAATAATGTGGTGGTACTACCAGCCCTATATCAGTACATCAAACAACAAACAACAAACAGCAATAACATCCAAGAAACACTTACTACTTGACTCTCAACTGTATGAGAGATGTGCATATGAAGTTTGAAAATCAGAGAGTGATTGGAAGTGTTCCTGTGCATGAGGTCTTTCAAGTACACTTTATGCAGAGTTATGCAGTAAAAATGTGATGAAAAAAAAATCTTTGTGGGAAATTTTTCTTATTGGTACCAAGGATGGAATATTGATTTCGAGGCGTTGCGCACCCCTCCTAAATTATGACCCTGTACGTAGGTACAGTAGTATGAAACTCGAATACATTGCGAGCTACTCCCACTACTTTCACATTTCACATGGAGCTCCATGAGTACGGGACTACAAATTATGGTTCCAATCTGTTTCCATGTGCTGCGCGAGGTCCTCCACACTTATCACCTTGCAGGGTTCATAATTATTACTAGTATTACGAAGTGCAGTAATTTTTTAGGGCCCAAGATACTAGACGTTTTCGGCAACCTTGTCAAAATGAAGAACCGCTCGTAATTTGATGACACTCTGATAGCTCGTAAACTGCCGTGGTAAGATACCGCAGGGTATCTTTTTGTTGAAAAGTTTGCTGAAAAGGTACGAGTAGTAAGAGAACTAAGTACCGTACAAAACATACGCGGGCGAATGACTAGAAGTACTTTCAGTAACAAGTAAAGTTGAGTTCCTGTGCATGTAGATTCTAGTACCTTACCGTTCAATATCTTTCAAGCAAACGCAACGCAGCTGACATCCTGCATCCTCGAAGAAGACCGAATTTACGTTACGGATTGGGCTGCTAGTAATATCGCGTCGCATCCTGGGAGAGACCGAATAGGCGTAACTGATTGAGCCGCTGACACAAATCTACCAAGCAAACACAACGAAACGACGCCCGCATCCCAGGAGAAGACCGGCACGCATCGCGCTGGCTAATCTACAAAGCAAACGCACCAACGAAACTCAACGCGTCATCCAGGCACGCTAGCCACTGAGCTATCCACTGAACAGGCGCTACGGATTTCTTTACCCCAACGGGCAATACGGATCCCCCACTGAATTCCTTGAATATCAATTACAACTGGATCCGTACGATCCGCTAACTTGAGCAACGGCCCCCGTAACCCTGTACATATGGTCAAAATGACCACAGCAATGGTGAGCCCTTCACCATCAAAGAAGAGAAAGTTTGAAGCAAATAGCTCTTCGGGTGACGACGGTGGCGATGAAAATGAGCATGATCTACGTTTCCGATCCAACAAAACCAAGAAAGAAGAAATCACAAAGGAAGAAGCTATGACATATTGTCCTGTGAAAGTCGAGGGGAATGTTAGTGCTTGTGAATTGAACAATGAAAACAGTGGTGTTCCAACAGATCCGATAGGGCTGGTCTCAGATCTATGCCGACCAACATCATACATCAAAACAACAAAGAAAGAAGAAACTACGGAAGAAGACACCGCCATCGAAACTGATGAAAATCTTGATGGTGTTAAATCAGAAGACATACAACAGCACGAAGTTTCGAATCTAGATAAGATCAAAAAGGAAGAGAGTGATGTGACTGATCATGAAGTAAAAAGGAAGGAAAGGCCGGAAGAACAAACTTCTTCTTCTGTGGAAGTGAAGAAAGAAGAAGCCAAAGTGAAGCTAGAAGTAGCTAGGGCAGAAGCATATGAGAAGTATGCAGATCGACCTTTGCTTCATCGGTTCTTTGGAATAGGGCTCTTGGGTGGAGGTCACCAAAACACCTACGTAAGGCCAAGTAAGAAGTGCACAAAAGTATTTGATGGACATGAAATCAGAAAAGGGTATCCTGCGCCCAAAATAAATGAGAAAAAGAATGCCAATGGTAATGATGTTGGTGCTGAGTATGATATGGATACCTTTGCCTATTGCGCCTTCAATACATTAAGGCAATTCAATGGACCAAAATTTGCAGGACAACCAACAGCAGCAATGAGTAAACTGAGTAGTTTTCTGAGGGAAAAGAATTTGTCTTTTCCGATTTTCATGAAAAGGTCATTGACCAAAAAAAACGAGTCTGAACAGAAAGTATTGGGCTGGGAGTACGTCGGAAATTACCGATGCAGTACTGATAAAGATATTATGCTATGGGAATCAGCAAAGAATATTTCTGAAGCAACAAAACGTCAGACCAAAGAAGATCTTCTGAGATACGCTGCTTGTGCATCAGGACATGGTAGAGCCTTTTTGGACAAATGGAAGGCATATCTTGACAAAGAAGTTGAAAAAGACCACAAGAATGCTAGAGAAGGAAAACAATTATCACAAAGCACAATTGGCGCACGAGCTAAGAAATTGACCTATAGGAAAAATTTGACTGACAATGACCTGATTGGTATCCTTCTTGAACTTGATGAATTCTATGGACAAGAGATTATTGAATTTGTTGAGTATGATGAGCGGATCTATGATTTTTGCAGCAAAGGACTGACAACCAAAAATTCAAATGGTGAGATTAAGGCAAAAAAAGGAGGGGATCATGCGACTGCAAGGGATTGGTATAATTTTGCTGTTGAGAATATGCTTATGTAGTAAAAAACTTTAAGTGTAAGTGCATTTCGCATTTCTTGAGATAAAATTTAGTGCATGCATACGGTACGTAGTGTTGTACAGTATTGTACAGTAATACGAAGCAAGAAAAATATGACGAAAAATTCGTTTGAGCACCCGTCTTTTTGACCGCTGGTGAAAGTGGTGAAAAAAAAAAGCAGAAGGCGCCGTGCCATCAACGAACCAAACGATCATCAAAAAGGAAGAACATATGGTTACATTTTTCGGTTTTAACTTTGTCACGAAACAAGGTTACTGCTGTTCTCGACCATAAACATCTTTCTTTCTATTCGGGAGATGATTCCCGATAGCGAATACAGTGTTGCTGCTACTTACTATGAGTGTTTTTATCGAAACAGTGATCGATCCGTAGAAGAAGAAGATTCTAATCCTATATTTTCTTCGCAACCATGGCAGGAGGACACTTGGACGGCTGCCGATGACGAGAATGCCAGGTTGATTTTGGAAAATCACATCGAAAAATGCTCTATCTCAACAATGCTGAAAAGCTCTGGTTCTTCTTTGATTGATGAAGGTGAGGACGCCAATGCTTGGGATCAATTTTATTCCAATCACGGCAATCGCTTCTTCAAAGATCGGCATTACTTCGAAAAAGGTACGAATCAACAGTGTTTCAATATATTTCCGTTCCCGTACATCCAAGCTATACGTCAGTACTGCATAGCGCGTAGAATATTTTGAGTTTGGAAGGAGGTGACACCCGATCTGGTTTATTGATCTCATATCATTCCTAATCGTCCTCCGACAGCATTTCCCGAAGAATTTCCTTCTTCATCCGCCGCAACCAATTCATCGACTTCGACGACTCGTGATGATGGTATGGGACGAAGAGCGTTGGTCGAAATTGGCTGCGGTGTCGGCAATGCTATTTTGCCATTGCTGGAAGTGGGAGACTCAGAGGGATACTGGGACATTGTTCACGGTCTCGATATTTCGAGAGAAGCAATTCAGATATTAAGAAAGGATACGCGATTCGTTTCTTTCAATGAAACAGGGGCTTCAAAAAGAAAAGTTTTCGGGCATGTTTGTGACATATCCATGGAATTGCCTCCACCTTGTTTTGGAATATCAGACGTTACCACCCTGATTTTTTGCCTCTCTGCGATCGATCCTGCGTCGCACGCAGAGGCAGCAAAGCATGTGGTTGATACGCTGAAACCCGGTGGCGTCCTCGTCTTTCGTGACTATGGTAGATACGACGAAGCTCAGATGAAGCTTGGAACTTCTCGATCAAAACGAATCAAAGAAAATTTCTACCGCAAACACGATGGCACTAAATGTTACTATTTTCAGTTGGAAGACCTCCAAAACTTATTTTGTGATCTTATGGGAATGCAAGCGATCGAACTCCAGTATCTTCGTCGCGTATATGGGAATAGGGCAACCACCCAAGTTCGCAGACGGATTTGGGTTCAGGGACGTTTCCGCAAACCCTTGCAATCTGAGTCCGACTGAAGTAGAATTGCATAGTATCACGTAAGTGATTGAAACATTAAACGGGATTTCTTAACGATTTAAAACAGTGGGTACGCCTTCAACACGTGAGAGGTTATATTTTTAGTCTCAGTCGAACAGATACTAGAGATTCTCTATTCATTCTTATTTTTCGGGAGATCCGGCAACGCTAACAAGGTTGATGCAGTAACGATTTCCAGATCCGTCAGGTAGGTTGTGTCCAAGGTGCGTTCCGGTATCACTAATACATTCTCCGTTTGCCAAGCATCGGACACCACCTTCCCAGTTTACCTCTTGGTCACGGAAACTAGGCCATCCATGCGCTCGTGATTCCTTGACGAAGTCTTCCATGCTTCGTCCAATTGGTGCTGTGAACAAGTGGGCACCGGTGACAGAGTCGTAAAACTTGATTGGCAAATCTTCGTCCTTCACGGATTTCAAGAAGGCAGTGGACTCCCAATATCCAGCATATTCTGCGTAATGGCGGTTGAAGTTGCAAATTCTGTCCGCGGTTTCGTAATCACAGTTCCACCTCAAATCTTTTTGGACTGGTTTCTCACTGGTTCCGTGACCCTTTTGACACATCGTTTCTTCTCCGGTCATGATTGGATACTCCGAGCTCGGGGCAGAACCAAAAAGACGATTGAAAAGACTTCTTTGAGTGGTGGTGTTAGCAGCACCTACCGCACTGAATCTCGCTGGGCCGAAACCCACGGCAGAGCGCAGCAAGGAACTTCCAACCATCATCATGGTCATACTCGCAGAGGAATTCAAGAGCTTCATGTTGGCAGTTCGTGTTGTTTATTGTTTAAAATGGACTTCAAGTGTTCTGAGTCGACAGGAAAGATCGATCGTCTCCTCCTCAGCTCCTATCACAGCGTTCTTTGCCTTTCCTACGGTGTGGTTTGCAGTAGTACTGTGGGTTACGTACTCGTAATAATAATAAACATTCATGATATCACTCCAAGATTTAGTCAGCCACAGCAACAACACGTGTTCGCATTCACACTCGGGATTGACAGTGGTGATTCCCGTTTTTCTAAAATCTCTAGATTTGATAGACTGACAGACCGAAAAGTTAGAGATTAGAGATTAGAGAATGTGACTCTACGCATACTAGTAGCATATTTAGAACCGGTCAAATCACCCCGTCCTAAATACTCTAAATTTAGAGTGGAACCCACAAATAAAATTTTCCAGTCATCTGTTTGTTGCACCGTTCTATGTACCAAGTGGCATGTGTGCCTCTTTTCAGTCATTGCGTTGGAATAGTAGTAGTTAAGATTCCAAGTTCCCAAAAAGACTGCAAGAAGCAATGAAGGCAGGCTTCCTCTCAGTCTGTCTGCACATTGAAGTTTTGATTCCTGTTATTCTAAATACCCTAGATCCCTACATTTAGCATTTTAGAGTATTTAGAACAACAGGAGTCACCCAATTGATTTCAAACACAGCTACTAGGTACTAGTAGTACTATTAGTACTAGTTTACGAGGTAGGTAGAAGAAGGCAAGTGTAAAGAGTGCATCTTGAATAGGTTATGGGTACAATAAAAACATAGTTTTTTGTAGAGAAAAAAACCATGAGTTTGCACACTTCCCTCCAACACCTACCCATACACATGAATGATCCCAATGATATGACTGATCAGGGGATCTGAAAGTCTCAGCAGATCACCAATCAGCCCCCTGCTGAGGAGGAAACGAGCAGCACAACCAGCCAACAGAATTACCCAGCAGTTTGCACCAGTGCTCACTACGATAACAAGAGCATCCCCACTAGTAAGCACTATTAGAGTTTTTTCAGTATTAAGTAATAGTAGTAATAGTAATTCTCAAGTACTGGTACTAGTACCCAATGAAATAACTTCTCCAGTAATAGTACTAGTACTAGTAAGGACACAAAAATAATCAGGGACTCGTTTCTGTACCGTATGTGGAGGGGGGGAAGAGGGGAAATGGAGACGGGAGAATTCAAAAAAAAAATCGAATTATTGTCGAACGAAACGTCAAGGTTGTCTTTCGAGTCAAACTGAAAGGTGTCAATGGATCCGGCACGAAGAAGTTCCCAAAAAACGACAGCATCATACCGTACAGTAACTAAAACCTCCTTCTTGGAAGTCGAAAAAGAAAGGGGTGGGGGGGGGGGGGGTTGATGTTTAAAAGAGGAAAATAACCGTGTACGACACACGCCCAAACTGTGTCTCGGGCACGCTCTAGAAAATATGTTTCGAGAAGGACTCCATATCCAAGTCGTTCTTTTTTATAGCCATTTGACTCAAGGCATCAAATTATTGCAACAACAATAACTCTGTCGAGCAAGGAGCGACGCAAAGGTGTTTATCAGAATACCTCCAACGTACCAAAACTTGTACGGTACCCCGATCTTTACTCAACTGTTTACAATTCTTGCGCCGTAGATTTCGTACTCGAAAGAAATATTCGACCATAGATCTGACCACATTCCAGTCGCGCCCCTGTCACAATTTACTTCTTGAATAGCAGAAACCACCTTTAGCGTCACACCAATACGAATCAAAAGTTATCGACAATGACTTCCTCCTACCGTGAGATTCTGTCGCTCCTAGCTTTGTTTTGCCTTCAATCAATCACTATTGCTGGCGCAGAATGTGCATGTGAGGTGCAAGAACGTCCGGATGTGGCTTCCAAGGCTTTGACTGCTCGATGGATGGTGCATTCACTGGATTGGGGTGTTGTTTCGACCATATCGACAAGGCTCGGAGGCGATGCCGGCGAGGGGTCCCAGCCTGTCCCATTCGGCAATATCTATTCCTTTGTGGATGGACCCTGTGACAAGGCACCGGGCGTACCGTATTTGTATGGAACCTACATGGATCAATCTTTTGCCGATGCAAAGGGCAACGATATGATCTCATTGACTCTTTCGGAGTCTTCGCTCTCTTCTGTCTGCCCAAACGCAGCTGTCGACTCGTGCATGCTCGGAACCAAATATGGAGACCCCGAAAGCCCTATGTGCGCTCGTTTGACCCTCACGGGGAAATTTGTGGCGTTAGAGGATGGGTCCGAGGAGCATGACTTTGCCAAGCAGGCGTTTTTCGAGCGCCACCCTTCCATGAAATCTTGGCCCGACGGACACGGTTGGGTTATTGCCAAGATCGATATTCAAGATATATGGTTGATTGATTACTTTGGAGGTGCCACTGTTGTAGATCCCGAGGAGTACTTTGCGGGGAATCTTGCCGAGGGCTATGAAGTTATCAAATTCTAGAAACACCATACCTCGCGGTGCTGTTGCTATATTTGTATGGTTCTATTTCACAAGAGGAACAAAGTCGTGTTTGCAGTCTGAAAGAAGAAGTCGCTATTTTTAAAAAATGATAATCATAATTTAGTGAATCCATTTCGTGTTTTTCTATGAAATCTATTTATTGTTTATATCGTACACGTAACATGGTTCAGGCACTCCACTCGTTGGAAACAAGTTCAAAATCGGACGAGGAACAGCACACCTCGTTGTCCATTGATATCTAGGCATGCTGCCTTACAAAATCGATAATCTCATTCGTCATGAAAGCTCCTTCTAAGCGATCCACAACACTGCCTTCCTTGATTAGCAACATTGTTGGTAGACCTTGCACTTGGTACCTTCCAACCCAATCGGAATGCTTGTCCGCGTCGATCTTAGCCACTCTCACTTCCTCCTGGACCAATTTTTGGGCGGCCACTTGGAGTTGCGGGAGAATCACACGACAAGGTCCGCACCATGTCGCATAGACATCTACAAGGATCAGGCTTTCCTGACGGGTCATTTCCTGATCTAGTTGCTCTCCTGTCAACTCAGTAACCGAACCAGGCTGTATCAAGCCAGTGACAGAGAAGGCCAATGTCTTTTCCATGTCTTCCAATATAGCTTGTACGTATTCTTCGGCTTCAGAAAACTTTCCATACATAATATTTCGTCGGGAGCACGCTAATTTCAGTTCCTTCAGAGTTTTGGACCGAAGGATTCCTATTTGTTCTTCGGCGTCCACGACAACATCCTTTGTGGTATCTTCGTGTGGGGTGATTGTAGCGTTGCTACTCTTCGGAGCGTAAATATTGGAGTTTGGATCTACCACACGCACTCGACTTCGTGATTTTGAAACGCCGGCACCGGACCGGCCTTGAGAGTATTTTTCTTCAGGTATAGCGATTGAGCTCTGGAAGAGGCGGGATTCTCCCACCGATGAATGTTGCTGCTGCCGATGAAAGATGGCTGGAGCAAATGAAAATGACGATCCCACTTCCAGCGAGCACAGGGCTAGCAATGTTATCCAAGGTTTCATCGCTGTTTTCATTTGGTGTGCCGTATTGATATGGATTTACCGGTACAATGATTAAAAAAGTGATACCTGGGAAGAGTTGGACCGTACTCGTATCGTGCTGAAAGTACCGGCAGGAGATTCGAAAGGCGAACAAAGAGGAAGATTATTTTGCCAATCGTCCGTGCTGTACTAGATGTACGTACCTAATAGTACAACAGAACAGCATAAAAGAAAACTTGACGAAGTTCATACCGTCATTACCAGCTACCAGTACGAGTACGTACCTACGGTACCGTACCGTAGTTGTGAAATTACGAACTTTGTGTGCAATTGCATTTTTTGGATTGCGAAATTCTGATCGACAGGCGCGTTTTCTGCTGGCAGCAGGGAATGTCGTCGAAGACATCGCGCGACGATTAACTCTTCCAGACTGCGTTCGTGATTGACTTTTCCCGCGCAAGGTTCGTCGGCACTTCACAATCTCGGACAGTTTTTTCCTCCGTCATCCAATCTGTTTGATGTCTTCTGTCTCCTCCTCGTCGTGTCTCTCTAAAAAGTATGTTAGTACCGTACTGTAAATACAGAAAATATGAAAAAATGGTAGGTACGAAACTAAGTACAAGTGCAAGTAAAAGTACGTACGTATGTACTGTACTGTACTGTACTGGTGAAACTCGTATTTCAATTTCAACATCACCGTTGAAGGCCTCTACTGTATGTACGTTACGCCAAATACGATACATGACAGGAATGCACGGTATTGTTATTCCTTTCACATTCTTTGAAACCCATCATCGACTTCCATCGCTTGGACACGCACGACAATACCTAGCAACCAATGAACTCTCTCAATCTGCAAATTCCACGCTCATGTCGATAACCTCTTTGGTATGAAGAATTCGACGTCACCTGTAACCAACAAAGAAAAAGGAAAACGGTCAGAAAGATGATGTTGCCATCGAAGTGTCGGTCGAAATCTGGCTACCCAGCACTCGCCATTTGGCTCCTTTGCGGATGTTGGTATCATCACGCAGCAGCCTTCCTGCAGCTACCATCTTTCAGAACGGATCGAGTATTAAATCGCTCGAGACATTCCCCTGCGACTGCCAGAAGTTGTGGTCGCGGACTCTCTATGCCGGCACTAGCAGCGAGCAAGTCGTCGGATCAAACTCCAAGGCGAAACAAAAAGTTGTTCTCAAAAAATTTACCCCCCAAAAAATATCAAAGAAGGAAACTTAACAGCGACATTTTTCGATTAAGAAAGAAACGAAGTGATATTCATCTCGCCCAGCAAAGGTTAGAGGAAGCGATCGTTTATATGATTGCGGAAAACGAAAACGATGTAGAAAGCAATATTCCCTCCCGGATGCAAAAGAGACATGATCAGATAGGGTTGCATAAGAAAGATGTGGATTCCGGCGACCTCATACTAGATCAGTTTCCAGATATTGTTACCTTTCATGCAGTGATGGGTGCCCATGCGAAAAACGCATACAAGGATCGTTTCGCTCCAAGGCGGGCCATTGGGCTGTTGGAACAAATGAAAGAACTGTCGTACACTTTTTCGCATCTTTCTCCGACCATTTTCACGTATAACACAGTTATTGAAGCGTACTCAAATCAAATCTCAAAAAGTCGAAACATTCAAGGCAGTCGGGACAGGTTGACAGATGACCAAGAGACGATATTTGGCTTGTACCAGGAACTGAAAGATGCTGGTCTCTCTCCTAATACGTATACAAAGAACTTGATCTTAGCATCTATGCCAACCGAGTCAGATGAATGGTATCGCTTGGAAAGCTGGGCCTTTGATTATTTAGAAAATAGAAGCGAATCTACCGGTACTGTCACCGACCGAAAGACTTACAATACACTTTTCAAGTTGTATTCTGTCGCTGGGAATGCCAAGAAAGCAGACGAACTGTTGACAAAAATATTACGATGGCATCAAAATCATGCCGATGGCACCCAAAGTATGCTAACGCCATCAAAGGTTTGGTTTCACTGCGTTCTGAAGGCGTTAGCTGTTTCACAATCTACCGCGGATGATCCTGATGATCGAATACGGCAACTAATAAGAGAGATGGAAGAGCTAGTAAAAACTGGGCACGCCGATCTCCAGCCAGACACAACAACATACAATCACGTTTTGAATATATACGCCTCATTTGGTAATTTTGATCCGGCATTGGAGCTCGTAAAAAGAATGGAAAAATCGTCTGAAGAATGGGATAGACCCGACTGCGTATCATACACGACTGTTATAAAAACATTAGCCTCGGTTCAGAAGAATATAATAAAGTCTGATTTTCAAGGTTCCGTCGAAATTGCCGAGAAGGCAACCAAAATTTTTGAAAGAATGCAAAAAAGATCAGTGCTTCCAAATATCGTGACTTGTAAGTGTGATGATTTCAATTCTTTACTTTCTCACTAGGTTCGATGTTTCTCACCCGTTGTTTTCATGTCTATAAACTCCACAGACAATACTCTCATTAGCATCTGGGTCAATGTTGGAACCCGAGAGGCATTGATCAAAGCAGAGGATTTGTTCAGCCAAATACGACATCCCGATTCTGTAACTTACTCCACTTTGATTCACGGGTGGTCAAAAACCCGATTTCCAGAAGCGAGTTCCAAAGCTCAAAAGCTATTCAAGGATGTATTGCGACTTCCCCCCAGTCAGCAGCAGAGGAATTTTAGTATCACAAAACTCTGCAATTCTGTGATATCGGCATACTCCAAGTCTGGCAAAGAGGATGCCCCCGAATGTGTTGACTCTCTTCTGGCTCAGTTAGAAGGAAAGTATCTCGGGGGTGAAAAGAGAGCGCAGCCGGATAAGATCACCTTTCTTGGAATTTTCGATACCTATGCAAAGGCAGGAGTTTCGGATGCGGAAGAGCGATGCAATATCCTACTCGACCGTATGAGTCATTATCGAGATATGCTTCACTTGGACGAATTGGAACCAGATCGGATCGTATACAACGTTGTTCTCAACGCTCTTGCCAAAAGCCAGCAACCGGATGTGATAGGAACGGTGGAGGACATTTTAGTCATGATGGAAAACTCTCAAGACGAACTCTTACGACCAGATATAGTTACTTATGCGACGGTGGTTGACTGCTATACAAAGTGCGGCGATATGAGTCTTGAACGTGCAGATGAGCTATTACTCTTTGTGGAAGGGGGCTTTCGCAGCGGTGACGAGACGTTGAAACCAAATGCTATGTTTTACTCTGCGATTTTACAAGCTTGGGCCAAGACAGCTACAGCGGAAGGGGCAGAAAAGGCCTTTTCTCTATTGCAACGAAACATCGCGTTGTATGCCGATGGAAACGATTACGCAAAACCTCACACGATTGTATACAACGCGGTGATGGATGCTATAGCCAGGAGCAATATGGCTGGGGCTGGTGCACGCGCCGAGGATTTGTTGACCGAAATGGAATTCTTGTATCAATCGGGCGACGAGGACATGCGACCTAGCAGGAGAAGCTTCAACGCTGCTATACTTGCGTATCGCAACGAGGGCAACGGGAGCAAAAAGGCAGAAGAGCTGTTGTATCGAATGGAAGAACTAGCCGACTCCGGAAGAAATGAGGTCCGGCCCGATGTTGTATCTTATAACAATGCCATTGCAGCGGTTGTCGAAGACACCAACAGCGAAAACACAGCAGATAGGGCACAAGCCCTGCTGGATCAAATGGAAGTGTACGGAATCAAGCCAGACGGAAGAACGTACAGTCCTGTCATTGAAGCTTGGTTAAGACGGAACGATGAAAAGGGACACGCACTAGCCGATGTCATGCTTACACAGTTCTTGGATAAAGTGAAAGAAAGTAAAACGGGGAATACTAGGGCGCGTAAAGAGTCTTTATATGAAGACGCGGTCTGGAATGTGATTAATTCCTATCGAGAGAATTCGGACAATGACTTCTATGAGCAGCTTGCCTCAAAGGGATGGCTTGGTGGAGGATAAACGATATCATTTTTTCGTCAACAATTTTTTGCCCATATCAGTTTTCTACAGCTCGACGTCTTATAGCCAAGCCTTCTAGAATCCCAGTTCTTCTCAAGCCGCGTTGTGTTCTAGTTGCCATGTTTTCAAATCTTGCTATGGTGAAGTGTTCTCATTTTGTTCGGTAGACGATAGAAGAAAGCCGTACAGCATCGAAACGGTGCAGAATCCTGCCTTGATCACCGAAACATCTGCGGGCAGAGACAGCTCGGGCCGTTCGAGGGCAAAAAGACTGTACAGCTGGTCGGTCGGAAGCAGAAGTGACGCGATCAGGGTGAATCCGGCAACTGCCGCCGGCACGGCTCTAGAGGAGGGCAAGGTGCCGTTGCGGGTGGCAACGGCTGCGATCGCCGAGAACAGGACGAATGTACCGGCAAAAAAGGGATCCTGCGTGACGGCAAAGCCTCCCAGAAAAATAAAGCCAAAGGCATCGTCGTTGTAGCTTCCGTTGCCTTCCTTCCGTGCGTTGTCGCTGTTGTTAGAAAGGAACACAGAGACACCTCTCTCCCCGTTTCTGTTGCCGATGGAGACTTGAGTGCGACTTTTCGTCACATAAAACGGTTCGGTTTGCGAATTATGATTTGTCGTTTTCTTTCCTCCGTGTTTTGTGGTACTGGGCAGTGACGACACGTGATGGCTCCTCTGGAAGGAAGACACCGAGAGCAGTATTGATGCCAAAACAAGCAACGCTCGAAATCGAATGATATAGAATGCCATAGTGATCAGACTTTCTTCCCAGGATTTTCAATTTCAGTGAAAAATCTAGAACAATTTTTAACTGCAACCAAGGTTTTCTGTCACATGTTGTCTCAACTGCTCGTATCCATGTAATTGGGGTCGTACGTACGGTACGAAGTCGGACTCGGACTGCTTTTTTGAGAGATTGAACTTCGGCTGGCGCGGGTGTAAATCATTAAAAGGGGCGAATCCCCCGAAAGCTCTTTATGAGACTGCTTCGCACAGTTTCATATTTCTCGTGCGTAATTTCTCGTTTCTCTTTTCGCTTCGAAATTCCTCCTTGACGAAAAACGGCGATCACTTTTTCCACCCCTTCCTGAGACAACGAAGACAACTGCAAGAGAATACCGTATGACCAGAACGAAATAAATATTGGTCGGCATTTGGGTACACGAAAGCAATCGTCATAGATAATAGATAACCAGTTGTCATGAGTTTCTTTGGTGGAGGTTACGGCGGCTATGGGGCTGGGGGTTTTGGTGGTGGTTACGGCGCCAATCGTCGTTTTGAAGAACAATATCACTGTTATAGTGTAGCGTACGCAGACAAGCCGCACTTGGAGGTAGGTCGGGTTGGCTGGTTTCCAGTATCAGCGTTGGTGATCCTACTTAGGTCAGATATAAGTACATTGCATCGCGCTTCTCTGCTGTGTTATGACGCAGTGCAGCAGCGACGAATCCGGCGATTTTCAATCAGGAAAATGGTGCAATATCTTACCGCGAATATGGAAACGACGAAGCATCTCCACCAATCGAGCCGTACTAACAAAGTTTTGTAACTGCCCTGATATCTGCTTTGGTTTTCCAACTTGGCTGTTCTACATCATGCATATGTTAGAAAGGAGACAAAATATTATTGCCGCCATCGGCGTTTGACACTTTGGCGCGATTGCAAGTCGATTATCCCATGCTTTTCAAGTTGTCATCCAGTGTCGATGACAAAATCACTCATAGTGGTGTGCTAGAATTTACTGCCGAAGAAGGAACCTGTTACATTCCGTTTTGGATGATGCAGAATTTGCTGATCGAAGAGGGTTCGGTCATTACAGTTACCAACGTTAGTTTGCCGAAGGCGACGTTTGTCAAGTTGCAGCCACAATCGGTCGACTTTTTGGAGATTTCGAATCCTCGTGCCGTTCTCGAGCACGCACTGAGGAATTTCAGTTGCGTCACAAAGGGCGATATCATTCAGCTTCCATACAACAATAAAAATTATCATTTCGAATTGAAGGAAGTAGAACCGCAGGATGCTGCTTGTATCATCGAAACTGATTGCAATGTAGACTTCGACGCACCCGTTGGGTATAAGGAACCAGATTACAGTGGAGCCGCCGCTGCTTCGACTAACGTTCCCTCGTCAGATCCCACAACAATGTCGACAACTTCTTCCGCAACCAATGCCGATTCAGCAGAGACCGCCGCAGATGCCGAGGATACGGAACCAAAGGGAACGCGCATCGTCAATGGGGAGATCGTTCGACCGGAAGACGACGGACAACCAGAAGGTCCATCCACGGCCATGCTGGCGGAGCGCACTGGACGTACGGGGGTTCAGAAAAATTCGGCTATCCCGCAGGTTGCACCGAAGGTTGATTACTGGGCCGTCAATGCCGGAGACGGAGCCCGGTTAGACGGAAAGTCGCCGTCCAGTCTGAAAGACAAAGACGGCAACGAAATGGACATTCGCAAGCTGCGGGCTGAGGCAGCCGCAAGACGTGCCGAGGCATTGGCGGCGTCTACCTCGGCAGGAGCTAAAAAGATGATGGCATCCAGTGGAAAGAATCTTCTGGGAGAAGAAATAGCCCCCGATGCCGGAGCCGTTCAAAGTGCTCTGGCGACGGCCGCCCCCGCATCGAAACGCAAAACAAAGGTTGGATCGAAATATTCTCGTTTAAAGAAAAACACTGCGTTCAAGGGCTCGGCGAATACGTTCTAATCGTTCTAGTTGCTCTAATTGAAACAAAACTACTAGAAACACTCAACTGGAGCCAACACGCATCAAATATCGAATGGTGTGAGAGAAAAATGGAAAGAGCTTCAATCATGAAATCATGAAAATGAACAATGACGATAGAGTGCCAAAGTATTTGCCTTTGGTTCGAAATAAGCGATTATCTGTAGCTATGTTTTTAGATCATTTTCGTTCAAGCTCGTCAAAAAGTTATTCTTCGTGTTCAATAATTGGGATCAAAAATGCGAAATGCGATGCACTTTATGACCCCCTACCGGTACAAATCATTCTTAGGTGCGGTGACAAATGCTTCGGGGTACGTTCATAGGATATATACATACGTATTCACTCACGACTTCGTTAGATTCAAAGATAGAATGTTGATGTTGATAGTCAACCGTGTCAAACTTTAAAAATAAAAAGTCTCGATGTTTCCAATATCATGCCGTGACTTATTGGACGGGTCGCAAAAAGCAGGTGGAGACAACTCTTCTCATCCTGGTTGATATAATCATCTCTGAACACCGAAGGCAACTGGCAGAGTAGCAGAATAAGAGCAAATTCACGATTGCAAGGATGGCGCGGACAAGCGTTGGATTCTGGGTTTCGGCAGCCTTCTTGTTTGCCACGAGTTTATTCGACCTGATTGTATGCCCTCACAGCAAGGTTGAGGAATCCTTTCAACTTCAAGCAACGCACGATTTATATTATTACGGGATCGGACCCTCTATAAGAGCAGGATTCCCCAGTGTTTGGAATGAGATCGAAGATTCAAACGTTGCGAATGCTGATAATAATGGAGCAATATCATTGTATCTTCCATACGACCATTTGCAATATCCGGGGGGTAGGTTGGATTTGAAGAGAAAAAATGCTTGTGGCTTATATCGTTGACTATAACAAGAGGATGTATGGGATAATGAGGGAGAACTTTGCCGTGTAATACTATTAAAGCATTAATGATTCCAATATATTCGAAGTCTTGTCTTACCTGCGTCGTTTTCCCCCTTTTTTTCAGTCGTTCCTCGAACGTTTACAGGGCCGGCCATACTATCACTTCTCTGTCGCATCATTTTGCTACCATGCTCACTACTGAATATTGATGTCGACCCCAATGTGGTACAATTTCTGGCTCGTCTTTGCCTGCTATCTCTCAATTATTTGGGGTGGCTACGGTTTGCCTTGGCAGTTGATAGAATATCTGCAACCTCTTCATCTCTACCGTGGGGAACAGGGAACAAGCTAATGACAATGGGGTCGTGGTTGTTGGCGATCACAGCGTGTCAATTCCACATACCGTTCTATTCAAGCAGGATGCTTCCAAACACTTTTGCATTGGCGATTGTCTTACAATCTTACACGTATTGGGTAGAGAGAAAAGTGGAATCTGCAGCTGCTCTAATTGTTTTTGGGACTGCGATCTTTCGGTGTGATTTGCTCCTCCTCTTGGGTACCCTGGGATTATCGTGGCTCTTTCGACGAGAACTTTCTGTCAACACCGCATTGAAGATTGGGGTTTTAACGGGTGCTGCGTCTCTGATGCTAACGGTCCCTCTAGATAGTCTGTTATGGCGACGTCCTCTATGGCCTGAAGGGGAGGTTTTCTATTTCAACACAATCCTCGGGAAGTCCAAGGAATGGGGTTTGTTCCCGTGGCATTGGTACTTTACGAATGCCTTGCCCAAGTCTATGTTGCTGACATTATTGTTGGTGCCGCTGTCAATATTCCCACTTGTAGAAAATCTCGTAGACTTTGAAAAGAAATTGAGGCAGTCACCAAACGATACAAAACGTCGCGAAGGGGTAGATTTTTGGTTGGATACGCTGTGGATACGATTTATGCTTCCGATCCTTGGATTTATCGTGCTATATTCATTCTTGGGGCATAAGGAAACTCGATTCATATTCCCCGCCTTGCCCATTTTGAATTTGGGAGCAGCTGTTGGGATGTCTAAGCTAGCTTATTTTGCATATCCTCCCATGCTTAAGCACAAAGGCAAAGCTTACTTTGTCTCTTGGATTGCGAGATTCGGTTTCGGATGTGGGTTAATGTGCATATTTCTGACCCTTGCTGGCAGTTTGATGTTTGTAGCCACCAGCACATCAAACTACAGTGGAGGTGACGCCCTCAGCGCACTGTCTTCGCACGTCCAGAGTGCTAGTTTATCATCTGACGAAAGCTTCTCTCCACTCTATGTACATATCGATGTCGCTGCTGCCATGTCGGGGGTTTCTTTATTTGGACAGCGGGCAGCGCAAATGAAGACCCCAAGTTTCGAATGGAAGTTCAGCAAGGCTGGCTACGAAGTTACGAACACCGTGGGGGAGCAAAGGAGCAGCGGGTACGAAAAGTTTACGCACCTGATAGTGGAAGATCCAGAAATTGTCTCACCATTGGATTTTAAAGTAATTCATGTCCAGCAAGGAAGGCCTCGATTCAGCCTTCACCAGAGAAAGATCGTCACAAAGGCTACGATCTTTGTCTTAGAGAACAATGGGTGGCGGAATTAATGGGACAGATACATAGATTTCAATTGGGAGTGATCCTACTGATCGCCACAATATCTATAGACTCCCGACGCAAATTCAAACAGATCAGAAATAAATCATTTTATGCCGTTCGAAATATAAATTAGCTTCTTGTTCTAAAGCTAGGAGGCTCTTCGTCACTTCATGTCGGAGTCATCGCAACGTCAGGCTGACCTGTAGCTGTGGCTGGCAATTCGTCTTTAATTTTTTCCCCACTTTCTTTTTTCTCCCCTCCACCATACAATGTAAGAAATCGATTCTGCCATGCGAAGTATTGTTGTTGATGGCAAAAGTTTCTAAAGGAGACTTGCGCCAATTCACGGCATACTGCGTCGTTGGTTATCAGTAATTCAAGGAAATATAGAGAGTGCGGGTAGGTTATAAAGCGGCTATACTCAGGATTGCTCCATGTCTTCTGTAGATACTGTAAAAAGGCTTTAAATCGAGGGTCTAAAAGGAGGGATTGACCTTCGTCGTTCGACATACTCGCCAGATAGTGCAGATATGCAGGAGAAGCAAGGGACTGGACAAATTCCAGCTCCAGTGCAAATCGATTTTCTGGGAGCTTCACGGATGAGACGGGCTCCGACGCCGAAGTTTCTTTTGGCTTCTCCATCGGTCGAGTTTGTTCGTTCAGTTGCTTGTCGATACGTTACGCTTGTTTCGGAACAATGAATGTGGCTGAAAAGTGTGAAGTACGATACTCTATCTTCGATCAAAATGAAAAAACCTGCACGGTTCAGAAATCTACGACGTCGAAAAGAGCGAAAATGAGTCGATCGAGTCGAGAAAGTGCTCTCACAATACTTTTTGTTTCGTGCATCAACGGTAGCAAAGATGTGTTTTTAAGAGAGGCGGGTCATCATAGTTTAAAAGACTGTCAAAATGACGACAGTAGCAATAGGGTTGAAGACAAACTTAAAAATTATTTAGTTGGGAAACGACGATTTCCGACCACGAGAGTCACAACGCACATCATATCGGCCAATTAAGGTTACAGTACTATCATTCCTCTTGTCTGATTAGATAACCCTCCTTCTCACAAATTGAACCAAGGTAGAACGTTGAAGCTCCCAACACAAGTAACACTCAGAGCTTTTCTGAAGATTGCCTGTTGAAAGATGCCGATGAACATGCCTCCGACGATGGAGGAGCGCGAGGCCGAGCTTGCCGCGCTGCAATCCGCGTTCGACGAGTATATTGCAAGCTCTAGAGAGCTCGAAGAAGAATTGGATGCTGAATTGGCTAAGATGCGTAAGTCTGTTAGAGCTCTTTCAAAGATGCGCGAAGATTTGTGAAAAAATAATTGATTTGGTGAATGCTTCATCTTTTTATGATGTAGCGGCTTGGTAGGAAGCGACTAACTCGGCCCTATGATTCCGTCTGTTTGCTCTATTGTAGAGGAGAAGCTTGCCGATTCTTCCGCGGCGAATGCTGCTCTCTCCGGACAACTCGAAAACATTGCTCCGCAATTGGCAAGTCTAGAAAAGGCACTGAGCGATAGTCGGGCCAAGCTCAAAGTGGAACAAAAGCTGCGTCGTCAAGCTGAACAAGACCAAGACGAGCTCGAAGCGAAATATCGTGAGGTCGAAGGAAATCTTATGGCCATTCGAGATGAATGTGACGCCGTGCACGAAGAATTGGCTTTCAAGGAAAGCGAGCTGGAGGAAACCCGATTGGAATTGGAGATTGAGCGAGAACGACACGCTGTTGAGTTAGAGGATGTCAGAGCAGAATCGGCTATTGATAACGCCTTTGATCCATCGGGTGAAGCGAAAGCAAAGCCAGCTGCGACCCCAGCACCAGCTAGTGATGTTGATGAAGCTTACGTCAAGAAACTCGAAGATGAACTCGAATTGGTGACGGAGCAACTCATCGAAACTGAGGCACTGCTGTCACAAACAGAAGGAAAACTTAAGAACTCGGAGGCTGCAAAGGCGACAACGTCTGAAGTCGAAAAATTGCTGGCAGAAGGTGTTGAGGCTTCCGAAAAGGACAAGAAACTCATTCAAGTGCTCCAGGAAGATAATGCAACTAGATTGGAAGAGGAACATAGACTTCGAGAGGAACTTGAGTTGACGAAAGAAGAACTCATGTTGACACAAGAGGAATTGAAGGCTGTTGAATACGATGCCCAAGAAGTCAGTAGTAGACTTGATGATTTGAGGGCACAGCATCGTCAAGAAATTAATAATCTAAAGAGTATAACTGAAGGCAATGCCAACGCATCCAAGGTTGTTGGAAGAATGGTGGCAGCTAGCGAAGAAACAGATGCACTGAAGGACGAAATTTCTAGTTTGAATGCAGCCTTGAAGAACGCGAAGAAAGATCGCGATGCGATTGTGGAGGAATTAGAAGCCGTTAACGAACGATTCGACGAGGCTCGTAAAGAGGCAGAAAAGCGAGGAAGGGATATTGCGTCTTCAGATATTAAGGCACAACTTACTAAGGAGCGAGAAGGAGAAATTTCAGGTCTCAAGGATCAGCTCAAGGCATTGACTGAAGAAAATTCAGCCCTTCAAAAGAAAGTGGATGATGCCGAAATGTCAATGGCAATTACGAAGGATTCTCAAACTCGAAATCAAGAAGGGGTTGAAGTCCAGAGTGAATTGGTCAAGCAATTGCAATCACAACTGAGCCGATCCAAGGAAGAATTGTCCAAGAAAGAAAAGGAGATGGCTGTCTTGGTAACTGGCATGGAAGATCGTGTTGCCAATGCGGAGGATAACGTAACAAAGCTCGAACAAGAGCTTTCAGCAACGAAGGGAAAACTTGCCGAGGCAGAAGCCAACCTAATTGTTTCCAAGAGAGAAAAGGAAGTCGCTCAGTCTCGTGATCTCACTCGAGAACCTTCGCGTAGAAAGATGCGTACTGGTGGTTCGTCAAGATCTGCATCTTCTTCTGTATACCACCCTGACCTTGTTAGTATGGACGAGAAGCAAAAGGTGAAGAAATCGCGCAGAATCCGATCTAACTCGCCCAACGCGCTCAAGAGGTTGGAGTTGAAGTTGTCGGAAGAGAAAAAGAAATATGCAGAACTCGAAAAGGATTTCGACAAGCTCCAAGAGCAGCAAAGAATGGGAGAAGCTCATGTCAAAAAACTGGACGAAGACATCAAGGTTCTCCAAAAACAGCTGTATGCGAAAGGAGAAACCGGTGTTTCTACCAACATGTCGCGGCTCACCGCAATTGGAGGTTCCTCCCAAGGTGCAGACCTTTTGTCTGATGATACAGCGTCGAAGATTGATGAACTTATTTCGCAAGGAGATCCTTCTGCCATGGGAGAGGAACTGCGCACACTTCAAAAACGATGCAATGCTCAACGTGACTACAACAACCAGTTACTATCGAAAATGCTGAATCTACAAGGTAATATTCAAGTATTTTGCCGTATCAGACCAACTAGTATCAAGGAAATTCAAAACGGGAATAAAAATGTTGTTGAATCACTTAGTGAAACGGAACTGGGTTGTTTCGATGAGCGAACTAACAAGTGGAAGAGCTTTGGATTTGATCGCGTATGGGGACCAGACCAGAGTCAACGAGATATTTTCCAAGATGTGGAGCCAATTGCTTTGTCTGTGGTCGATGGTTTCAACGCTTGTATTTTTGCTTACGGTCAAACAGGAAGTGGAAAAACTTATACAATGGAGGGAGTTGCTCAGAACAACCAACGAGGTATTAGTTTCCGTACTATTCAAAAGGTTTTCCATTTGTTGCACCTCAAACAACAACAGGAAAAAACAAATGCTATCCTATTCAAGTCGCAAGAAGAGCGGGAAGAAGAGCCTGCCAACTTTGTCTTCAACGTTGAAATTGGTATGGTGAGTTACTTTTTTTGTGTGGTTTTCTTTTTTCCAACGTTTTTGAACATGAATTCTCACTCTTTTTGACTTGTAGCTTGAGATCTATAACGATGAATGTTACGATTTGCTAGGAGCCAGTGGTGCAACTTTGGCAGAGAAGAAATTGGAGGCACAAAAAGCCGGTGGAAAGGCATCGTTAGAAATTCGTAGAAACAAGGAAGGTCGTATTGAAGTTCCAAATCTTACGAAGGAGCCAGTCAATAACATCGAGGATGTTTTCGAGTTGCTTGCGAAGGGCAACAAGAATCGTGCGGTCGCTTCCACCAGTCTTAACCAAACTAGTAGTCGTTCGCACATGGTTCTTTGGGTAGACGTGACTTCTGGGTTCGAAGGTCAGGATGGTAACAAGGGCACCTTGTTCTTAGTCGATCTTGCCGGTTCAGAGCGTGTGAAGAAGAGTGAGGTCGAAGGAGAACACATGAAAGAAGCCGGACACATCAACAAGAGTCTCTCGGCTCTTGGTAACGTGATGGAAGCGCTCGATCGTAAGGCATCTCACATTCCTTACCGTGACAGTAAACTCACGTATCTGCTACAGGATTCCTTGGGTGGAAACTCTAGGACTATGATGATTGTTGCGGTAACTCCTGTCGATTTGGCATACGATGAATCCATCCACGCATTGCAATTTGCAACCCGTGTCCGCCGTATCAATATTGGAGCTGCCCAGCGAAATGTTACGTCAAAGAATCTCGAAGAGACTGTCAAGGCATTGACTGACGAGATGAAGACGCTTACACGACAAAAAAAGAAGACGGAAAGCCAATTGCATACGTTGAAAAAGGATAATAGTCGTATCCAAGACAAACTGTCCAACATTAGTGCCGCTCGAAAAGCACAAGCTAGCGATAGTAAAACGCTCGAGGTACTACGCAAGAACAACAACGAGATGGCAAAACGTTGGGAGAAAGAGAAGAACGCAAGAGAAGAGGTTGCGGACGAACTAGAAAAGTCTAGAAAGGAGATGAGGAAACTGCAAAAGGATGTCACTTCCTTGTCGAGAGCGCAGGAGTCTTTGCAACAGAAGTTGGAGGACAAAGACAAAATGTTGGAGAAAAAGACTGCCGAACTTCGAGCTGCAAAAGAAGCTTCTTCTGCCGCCAACCTTCGTGCGCGCAAAGCACAGGTTCTTGGATCTCGTCGCCCTTCGACCGCGAGACCCTCACCTGCGAAGACTGCCGGATCGGCATCCGTATCGACCGGTGCTAGTTCGAGTGTGACAAGTGCTTCTTCTACGGTGGCTACCGAAGAAGTTGCCGAAATCCGCGGGCAGGTGCTTGCGCTTTTGGAAAAATACGACAAGGCGAAGGTCAATCGCATCGACATCATCATGGAGAAGTTCAGAGGGAAGGAACATCTGTTGCTGGAAAAGATGACTCAACGCTACGAGAATTCTGGCGGTGCAAGTGACGCAGACGAGAGTGGCTTGAGCCGAAGCGAACTTGCCGCCAAACGTCACGCAGAACGCATGCGCAAGTTGCGTGAGGGCAAGAAATAAAGAAATGCGATCCAATCAAGATGGTTATTTGAATAAAAAGAAATAATAACCACCGCCTGCTAGCCGTGTTGCAGGTAGACTCAAGAAAATGAAACGTTCGTCTCGTGCCTTTAAAATTTAGATAGCACCATTATGTGGTTTAAACCCCTCTCTTTTGCTCTAGCGTCTATGATCTAGAATCGCTTCGACCACGTCTGTGACGATTCGATCCAGACCGGTGATCACGATGTTTCCGATCCCGTCTGTCGCGCTTGTGGTCTCGTCTTTCGTCGTCGCCTTTTCTGTCGCGACTCCTTTTGCTCTTTCTGTGGCCACTGCTCCTGGATGCCTTGTGATCGTCGCGGCTTCGGCTGCTGCTGCGGCTGCGGCTGTGGCTGCGACGCCTCCGGTCGCGACCGTCCCTCCTCCGCCTTTGAGCCTCCCGCGAGCGGTTTCTGTCGTCGTCGCCACGAGAGCCATCGTCGGCATCGCTGTTTTGCCTCCGTTTTCTCTCGGTTCGATGATTCGACGGCGATTTTTCCCGCCTCCCGCGGTGGTGTTCGTGGTGCCTCGATCGCGAACGGCTTCCGCTGTCGTTGGCACTTCCGCGATCTCTGTTTTCGCAGGACCGCCCCTCGTGGAAGCTGCGATGGTCCTTGCGATCGCGATCACAGCGATTCTTGTGGTGTGGGTCGTGACGGCCATCGCGGTGGCCCCCGGACCTCGATCGATCCCTGTCTCTGTCTCTGTTTTTGTTTCTGTCCCTGTCGTGGTTTCCCTTGCTGTAGTCTGCACCGCGGTAGCGATCCCTGTCCCTCGTTGACGAATCGCGGTACCGATCGTCCCGGTGGTTGCTTTCGTGGTCCCGGCGCGGCGAATAATTGTTGCTGGTCCTGCTGTTGGCGCCCCTTCTATCGTCTCTGCGACCGCTGCCATGGCCCCTGCCTTTCTGTTCCCGGCCGCGATTCCCGTGCCGTTTCTGTTCGTGGAAGGGATCCCGCGGCATGGCCCCGGACGGAAAGGATCCCTTCCTGTTTCGTTGGTTGAACCGATCCCAGACCTTGGACACGCTCTGGCTGAAATCCACCTTGATTCGTCTGTCGTCGATGAGGGCGTTGTTCATTTTGAAGTAGGCTTCCGCGGCCTGTTCCTTGGTGGTAAACTCCGCGAAAGCGTACTGCAGGGACGCCCCCGTCTTGTGGTCCCGGACGATCTCCACCGAAACCTTTTCGTCGAAGCGCGAAAAAATCAGTTCCAGGTCGTCGTCCTCGGTGATCGAGTTGAGCTTGCAGACGAAGAGCACGTTTTCCGGCGCCTTGATGTCCGCCGAGGGCAGATCACCGAGCATTTCCAGCACCATGGCCCTGGATTTGTCGTCTCGCTTGAGGCGTTCCTCTTCTTGCAACCGGAGTTTCTTCCGATCCTCTTCCTCGGTGGCCCCGTCCTGGTCCACCTCGCTCGCACTAATCCGGATCTCGACTCTTTCTTCCGGGGGGCGTTCGTACTCGGGAGACGCCGAGACTCTCTGGCGGAGCGCGGCTGCGCTGCCCCCGCTGGTTTCCCCGCCGCCGGGGGGGCTTGGCTTCTCTGCCAGAGCCGTGGTTGAAACTCTTACGCCGCGGTCCTCCAGCAGCTGGTCCATCCCCTCCGGATCCTCGTAGGGGTCGTCGATCACCAGGGCGCGAAGGACCCGAATGTCGGCGTAGGGCCTCCCGTCGGCGTCGCAGTAGGCAGCGTTGATCTTCCCCAGGACGTCGCTGTCGTCCTCCGCGACGGTCCCCACCGATCGAAAGGTTTGTGGCACCGGTTGTCCCTCGCTCGGCGCGAATCCCGCCTCCCCGGCGTCCTTGTTGTTTCTGTTTCTGTTTCTGTTTCCGCTTGTATTGGTATCGTTTCGGAAGGAATCCAGTGCCCGTTCCGGGCCCTCGTCCACGGTGATCAGGAGCTGGGAGCCGATCGTGTTTTGGATTCCGTTCATCTCTGTCGCCACGACCCTTCCCTTCTGCCGGCATTCGCCCTCGGTCAGCGCCCGTCCCATGTCGCTCCTGAGGAACCGACGCTGGCTGGCGAGAACGTCGGGTTTTGCGCCGCCATTGCTCTTGCGAGCCTTGTCGTGGGCGTCCAGCAAACCGTAGATGCATGCACCGCCCGTCCCGTCGCCGCACGGATCCCCCAGCTGGAAAAACCGGTTCGGCTGCACGTTGTAGACGAGGCTTCCGGTGTAGTATCGAGCCTTGGCCAGTTTCAGGACGTTTTTGCACAGAGCCGGGGAGCCCTCGACGTCGAGATCGATCACCAGGTCACCGACCGTTGTTTCCAGCAAGAGAGCCATGGCGCGGTTGGGTAGGGTGGATGGCTCTTGTTGCAGCTCTGGCTTCCCGCTGTGGTGTGGTGTGGTGTGGTGTGGAGGGGCGAAACGGTCTTCCGTAGAAGATCGGATTCGTGAGGGTCGGAAACCGCAACTCGAAAAACTTCGGTTTGGGCGGGATACTGTATTGGATATTGGATACTTGTAGTATTGTTTGTTTTCTTGTTTTCTTGTTCCTTCGCACGGACAACCCGTGCCGGTTTCCGAGCCGGTTTCGGCGTCTGTCCATCGTTCACGAACGACGACTGACTCCGTCTTTCGCTCCCCGCTCGGGGGTCGTCTCGCGCGTTCCATCGGAAAGTGCGCATTGGGTGGATTGATCCATTCCATTCGATTCGATTCAACGAAGCGACGCGACGGGAACACGGACGGCACACATCATCATCATCAACAATCGTTACATCAGCCGAGAGGTCTTGAAGAACAAAAAGAAATTTTGATCGGTACCCGTACGAGTACGAGTCGAACGGCAGCGCTACGTACCGTACGTACTGTACCAAAACATCACGAGTGCGTACCAAGTACGAGTACCATACGATACGAAACCCGTACGGGCCATCGTATCGTACGTACGGTGATGGGAGATTCGTCCATTCATTTCGATCACGAAACGATCGTTTCGTGTTTTCGGAATGGGCGAACAAGAAGCAAAAACAACAAGCACCACTACACAGTAAGAACAACAACCACCATCGTCGTCATTGTAGGTACTACGACCGACGACACTTCGTTTCTATCAGTCCGTATCAAAGTCACGTTGCGCAATACCGCAATCGATATCCGTAGGGTCCCAGATACGACACAACCACGAAAGTGCACCTTACTAAGTGAAACTTGAGAATACATTCCATTCTACGATATCCGAAACACATTCCACGGGGGCAATTGCAAGGAAAACGATGAAGCTGTATAGAAAACGAAACGATTCGTTTGTGCTGATGCGAATTGTCCTGCTGCTATCGGTCACCATCGGCATTTGTTCCGCAAGTGTTGGCGGGTGGTCGAAAGGTGGAGAATTCCACCCCTGGAGGAGGGGAAGCAAAAAAAACATCGATGCCGAAACCAAAACCAAAACGAACCCGTTCGCCTTCGGCCTCCAGAGGGCCCTGCACCAATCGATAGTGGGAACCGCAAAGCCCAAGCCCGCCAACTACGCCAGCGGCAGCAACGACGAGGACGCCTCGCACGCGATCCGAAACGCCTTTATAGACGACACGGAGGCCGCAAAAGAAATCAAACAGACCACGAAACCACACCTGAAACACGTGGCGTCGTCGCAAGCAGACGAGGATTCCACCATCAGGGCGACCCGCCCGGTGGCTGCGGTTGCCACAACACAGCGTTCCCTGTTGTTCTGGGAAAGCATGGTCAGCGGGGCGGTCTCCAGGAGCATCGCCCAGACGGTCATGCACCCCGCAAACACGATGAAAACCATAATGCAATCCTCTCGGGGGCCCTCCAAACCAAAACTGCTCGATCTGATAAAGCCCGAGATGTTCCACCGGCTGACGTGCGGCGCCGGAGCCAACTTTGTGCTGTCGCTGCCGCACGGGGCCTTCAATTTCGCGGTTCTGGAATCGATCCGGCAGCGAATGTCCACTTTGGTCGACTCGGTGCCCGTGCTGGAGCGAAACAAGGAGCGGATAGGCCCGGGGCTCGACTTTCTCTCGAGCTCGATTGCAACCATCTGCTGTTCGGTGGTGTCGACCCCGCAAATGATGATTACCGACGTGAGTATTGTTGTTTCGTGAATCGGTACCGTACAGTTCTTTGCTTGCGGTCCTTTGTCTTGCTTCGGATTCGCATGTCTGCTGAGTGACGCAGGGGATCGAAACCGGATCCGGAGGATGCGATGCGATGCGATGCGATCCGATGCGATGCGATCCGATGCGATGCGATCCAGCAGGAGAAGAATGTTTTGCCTTGCCACTCTTTCGATCGCTTCCATTTCCCGTTCAAAACAAGGACCATTTGGTTCCATCTGCGACCCTACAAAACTCTCACACGCAAACACAAAACCTCTCGTCTTCTTTTTGAAATTGATTGGTGTTGCCTCCACACCTCGTCGTGATTCAAGAACATCATGGCCGGAAATTACCCTAATTTGATTGCTGCCACAAATGGCCTCTACAGTGACCGCGGAATGATGGGATTTTATTCCGGATGGTGGCCGGGATTGGTAGGAAAGATCCCATCGTACGCCCTGACATGGACGTTTTTCCAACAAATCAAACGCGTTCGGAGCAGCATGTCCGATCGACCGGCGAAAAATTACGAAAACACCATCATGGGTTGCATGGCCAGTGCCACCACCGTTTGTATCATGATCCCCATGGACACAATCAAGACTAGATTGGTCACACAGACCAGCGCAAAAGTGTTGGAGGGGCAGGCGTACAAGGGAATCGTCGATTGCGGAGTCCGGATTGCCAGAGAGGAAGGAATGAAAACATTTTATCGCGGACTTGCTCCTAGGTTACTAAGCGTTGTCCCGATGATTGGCATCCAGTTCGGTGTGTACGAAGCTATGAAAAAAGTTATGCTGCAACGAAGCGTATCGATCCAGGACAAGGAAAAACCGGTCTACGGGACGGAAGAAGCTATAGAGGAAGCTGCAATGGAGACGGCAGCCAGTCAGGGCACCTCATTTCCTGCCCCGCACTTCCTCAAGTACGCCCCAAAGGCATCCAAGAAAGGCCTGCGATCCATGTTTGGCTTTGGCACGGATTCAGAAAACTAATTTGGGAGGAATGCAATCCATGAAATCGCATGGAATGAAGGAAGGAATCCTTTCCAACGTTTTGACACTGAACTACGAATAGGCTACTTGTAGTACTGCGTTGAATCATGCTTTTGTAAAAACACACCATTGACTAGAATTTCTAAATTATTCAATTCAGAATATGTACGTGTAATTCAATTATGGCAATTAGGAAATGACGTAGTATAAATAACAAGTTGCTTTCGAAATACCATATATAAGTACATATTACTAGCCGTTACAAGAGATTTGCGTTGTCATCGAATGACCAATATTCATTCTCTTTCTTCCACTCCAACCTCTCCACGAGCTTCATCGTCGTTTTCGTTTTCCGCCACTGGTGAAAAAGATTTATTGTAATCTGCAACCTTCTGAAGAATTTCTGCATACTTGCTCCTCGATCGAATACTTTGAAGACTATTCGAAGAGAGCGAGGCAGTCGCACTACCTACAGTATCATCACCATCGCTGGTTTCGGTCTTTGGAGACCACTTGTTCGTGTTTGATATCGTTGTCAGTTTCTCAATCGCCTTGCTAATCTCGAGAAGCCGAGGTGAACCATCGATAGTCGATTGGTAAGGGTTCTTTTGAACAGAAGGCACTGCATTTTGGACCTCACTAGCCGATGTAGCAGTTCGCTCTGCTAGGCTCAGAAGATCATCTAAAATCTTGTCGTCTTCATCTCTTCCAACAGAAGATTTCGAGCTGGCGGACAAATACGACATTGTTGCAGAAATTGCAGCCTTAGCTTTTTCGTTTTTTTCGCTGTAATACTGATTCATGAGCCATCCATTTGATGGGCTTTGTTCGTTCGTCCCAGCAATAGTAGCCCCATTGGAAGCTATTCTTGAAACTGCAGAAATTTGCTTTTCAAGCATGTCGACACTTTCTTCAGTACCTCTCAATCGGGCTTCCATCATGTTTGTTATTGCTTCGACTTCCTGGTTTCTCTGGTCAGTTTCATCCACAGCTCGATCGACTGTAGCTTGCAATTCCTCGGCTATTGCTGTTCTCGCTTCAACGCCAACCAAAACTTCTTCCTGTTCCTCACGAACGGACAGGATCTCATTCTCCATCTTTTTAACGTGCCGTCCGAGAGCTTCGTTCTTTTCGTTCAGTATCTGAAACTGAGTTCGAAGCAAGGAGATCTCGGCACCATCTGAATTTGATTCTGTTGCTTTGAGAGACAACTCGTAAAGATCTTGAACTTTCTCCAACTCATCAACGACAGAGTTGTATTCTAGTTGAGCTTTTTCGAACGCACCGCTCATGTTCGATATCTCCTCAGAAAGCAACCGCACTTCGTTTTGTGTAGAAACTAGTTGATTCTCTAACGCAATAATTTCCTTTTTCTTATCCTCGACCTCATTCCACGCTTCTAGAAGTACACCTTCTTGACGTTTCGATTCATTTATGCCTATCTTTGAAGCCTCGGAACGATTCTGACGAGCTTTGTACAATGATTCCGTCAACGATAGAACCTCGGATCTCATCTTCGAACATTCCTCCTCAGATTTTTTAAGCAATTCTTCTGCTTCAACGGCTTTCTTTTCCAATGCCCTTTCTCTACGACTAGATGAGTTATCGTTGGCAAATTTGAGTCCGATAATATCATCGTCGCTAACCTCTTCGGGATCATGTTTCTCTATGTTTGCTTGCTGAGATTTGTTCCTCCAGTAGATTTCTATGTCCACTATTTGCCTTTCGTAGTCATCTTGCGCCCTTTGTAGTTTATTTCGCAAACTTTCGACTTCTCTTCGTAACTTGACTTTGTCAACGTGGTTCAAGGCTTTTTCGTTAGCGAGACTGCCCACCGTATCTTGGTCATAGATTATATTTCGTAGGCAAGAAATCTCTTCAGTGAGTCTTGCATTTTCTTCCCTGGTATCTTCAAGCTCTTTCTCGTAGTCAAAAATCTGTTGTTTACCAAGAATTTTATTCGGTGAATGTGACTGAATATCGTTCCTTGCGGCATCGATTTCTGCTCTGATTTCGTCCAGCTCGCGTAGAAGTGCTTCGTCATCTCCCGACAGAATTTTTGCTGATTCGTCACCTCCGATATTATGGAGATTTCTTTCCAAGTCTTTAGTAAGTGCCTGTGACTTGTCCAGATCGTCCTTCGTCTTCCGTAATTTTTTCTGGGTAGCAATCAGTTCAGCTGTAACTGCTTCCAACTCGCGCTCTGCATACCCTTTAGTTGTGTTAGAAGCTGTTTCGGTTACGATGCCACTATCCATACTTTTGATTGGAAAAGCACTAGCTCTATTTTTAGGTGCTGATTCTAATTCTGCCAAAGCCCTCTCAGCTTCTCGTCGCAATTTTGTCTCGCTTTTGAGTCGTTGTTTCGTCTCTTTTGAAGAACGTTCTAGATCCAGTAAAATATGCTGCATATCTTGTAGTTTCTTTGCTAAAGACTGATTTGCAGAGGTAGAGTGCTTCAGTTTTTCCTCTGTTCGATTGTATTAAGTTTCATTTCGTGTTAGAAATCTTGTTTCGAAGTATTCCACTCGACTAAATTTACCACTGATACAATTCACATCTGGGCATAACTTACGCATTTCTTTCAGTTCTTTGTTCAGGTCGATGTCGAGACCTTCAGATGTAGACATAAAGTCATGGAAAGCCTTGCGTACACGTTGTAATTCCGCCTCCAACTGCTCAATCCGTCCCGTATCATCATCGCTGTTTAGTTTATCAAGCATGTACACCATGGCTATTCTTTATTCTTTCAGCAGCCTGAAAGTACCACGATTGGTTGGTATCTTGAGCTGAATGACAAGATGTGCGATTCGACTTGTTCCTGTGTACTGGTTTGAGTAGTAATCCCTTTGCTCCGTTTGGCAAGTGGAGTCACCTTGTTGATAACACAAATCAAGGATGCCAAAACACAAAGAAGGTACCGGTATGTGTATCAATCTTGTGAGCGACAGGAAGATCTATTGTTTGAGACATTTCAGCGATGAAGTGCGACAAATTCACTTAGTAGAAATGAGGCACACTTTCAAATACCTACGGGGGTACGACTTAACGGCAGCCGTTGACTATGAATACTTCGTCCAAAACTCCGTTAGAAGAATTGTCGTCGTACTAATATTGTAACTATGAGATACAATACTCATAACCGTTAAAAATATTTGGCGCGACCAAAAATTCTGCAATATGAGTTGGTGAAAACTGAAAACCTTCGAGGAGTACCAATGTTGAGAATAACAGTACTACTACTACCACCAGTATGTGGTACTATTAGTAGCTGTACCACTACTATTAGTACTACTGATGATTGAAGATAATGGTGGGTGATTCCCATTATTCTAAATACTCTGGATTTGTTAGACTGACAGACCAAAATTTTATTGTGACTCACTCCAGATCTAGAGTTTCTGATAACAAGGCCCCAACAACAACCCCTCCTTTCGTCACAAAAACTATTCGCGACCCGTAGCGAACCCCCCATCGCAACCCCGTCGCATGCCCGAACGCGACC